GGTAAACCATCTCACTGTGATTGAATATTAATGAACTTGAATATAACCTGAAAAGTAATCATCACTGGTACGGATTCATGTAATATAAAATCCGGCCGCATGTCAACTCTATTCACTTCTTTATTAAAAAATTTTCGTTTACTTTAGTCAGAGGCTTTGGCAAAACAAAAAAAACAATAGAAATCATATTATTTACGTGCCTCATATTACAAAAATCCGATTCAGCAACAATATTATTGTGGAACGATTCATACTATTGCGACAAAAACTCTCTTTACAGGTATTGAAAATGATGTCATTAATCTCCATGAGATTGTGAGAATCTATAAGTCAGGGGTGCTATCTAGTTTCGTACTGATAATCATATTGACTTTTTGTTATGCAATGTTGATTTAATAGAATAACTTAAAAAATACGCTTTTCGTTTAACCTAATAGATCTAGCTGGGATATTTCATGGGGTTACTACCACTTCTAATGTGACAATTTCCCAATTCCATGAAACTTTTTAGGATTTGTAGAAAATGTTGACCTAACATTTTCTATAATATAAATTTTAAATTTGTTTAATAAATATGTAATATATAAGATGATATTTCGTACTGTCTTTGTGGCAATGACAGAAGTTAGGATATTTTCGAAAAACGAACCTTTCGAGTCAAAATAAAAAAAAGATATCAATTAACAATACACATAATAGTTCACTTGATTGTTCCTGATCTTGGCTACATATTGATTACAATAAACTGGGATTTTCTTAATACTTTCACTATTTGATCATTTCATTTATACGACATACCCCCTAAATGATAGAATGCACACATGTGATAAAAAATGTTCAGAAAAACAGAATTCCAAAGCAGAGTCATGCATACGGTTTCATACTAAACCACTTGCTCTACAGCGTGAGATAGAGCCGGATCTTTTGAGGTGCTGATCTGACAAAAGGCTGAGCATAGAAGGATAAAAAACCAGGTTTCTTCAATATGTAACGGGATCCCGTTCTCGCTCGTTTCTGAAGATTCTCGGGGACATCTCGCGGAGAAATTATGGAAATTTCAAGGTCGATAGAACTCGATAAGTAGAGCAAAAGTTGTCATCAACTCAAAATTTCCCAATGGTTTCATTCAGGATGGCCTGTGGGTCGCAAAGCCCTAACGTGGCTAGAAGCGTTCCCTGCTACAAAATTCAATAATTCATTTTTACGGCAGCTAGGATCAAATCGGGATCCGCGTTTTTTTGTTCTTTCAAAATATCGTTTCTAGACCACAGAGGAAGCAAAATACCGAAAGCAGCGTCAAAAAACGTATTTTTTTTTCAATGGCACTAATTTTTTAAAAGCTGCCAAATTTCGTAGCAGCAATATGTTAACAAAAGAAAATATGCAACCTGATCGGATGTACTGCGTGGGAGAGAGAAAACTGCAGTTTTTCGGTCCAATCTTGATTTTAGCAAAAACGCGAAATGATATACAGTTTTCACTATTTCCTGTGCGTAAATTTGATTTCTTCTTGAATTTTTTAACGTTTAGTGGCAATATTTGAATCCTATAACGTTCTTAGTAGAGATGGATGCTACTTCAAGGTATAGAATGACCCTGAAAAACCAATACATGAAGAAAACAAAAATTTAGGGTATCGATAGGTGGGGGAGGGGAGACTTCTAACAAAACGGTATTTCTATGACCCTAACCAAGTTGTGCAAAGTCAACTCTGATTTTGATAAAAGAAAATTTTAAAGCTTTTGGTTTAACGGAGATAGACAAAAATACTTAAAGTAGTGAAAAAACCAAAGCCTTCAAAAGCGGATCATTTCACATCATTTTTGTGAAAAGATTTCGACAGTTGACCTCACTCAAGCAGTGTCCATAATAAAATCTAGCACCATATTTAGATGAATTGTGAGACGCTGCATTGAATTATACTAAAGTTGACTTCAATTTTCCCAGAAATCGATTCTAATGTCTAATTTACTACACATCCACTACTCAAAATAATGCCTCTCTTGCATCCACGATTATCCGAAAAACCAAAACGATTTTTGTGTAAATTGACATTGGATTTAGTATGATTCGATGCACTGACTCACGAGATGTCTAAATATAGTGTTGGATTTTTTTCGACTGTGTTTTAGTAACTGCAACTAACGAAAACTATGCGAAAAACAGTTTTTGAGGGTTTTGGTTTGTCAATGCTTAAACTCTTTTGTGTCTATGTCCTTTAAAGCAAAAGTTTTAAAAATTTCTTTTTTTAATCAAAATGCATAGAATTAAAAGCTCTACAGACGCTAAAAACATCATTAAAATCAGAGTTGGCTATGTGCGACGTGTTTGGCGGCATGGAAATACTGTTTTCTTAAATATTGGAAAACCACGATTTTCCTTCCCCCTTTTGCTAGGTCTAAAAGCACAAAACATCGGTTTAATCCCGTGTTATACAGCAACCGATACACGACGAAGTCATATGCATGACTAGGCTTGGGATTTCCGTCTTTCTGAACTTCTTTTTATCACATGAGTGTATAATATGATTTAAGAGGTATGTCGTATAAATGGCATGATCATATAGACTAAGTATTGAGAAAATCACAGCTGGTTATAGCCAAAGTGTAGCCAAGATCAGGAGGAATCAAAAGAACTATTATATGTATATGTAATTAATATTTTTATGAATTTGAATCGAAAGGTTCGTTTTTCAAACGGATCATAATTTCTGTGATTGTCAAAAAGAGGGTGTGGGTGTGGGTATGGGTCATCTATTTGTCCATACCCACACCCTCTTTTTCGCTACGCGAAAAGTAATGATTATACAATCATAGTTGATCGAAGAGTGTTGTGATCTTTAGTTTGAAAGACATGTCACGAAGTTTTTACGCCTGAAGAGATTCGGTTTTCAGACAATCGTTACGAGCGTGACCACCTTCGATGACAAATATTTTTAAAAAAATATCGTAACTGATATTTAATGAAAGTGTTGCTTTTTGAACCCAACGATAGGAGATGCCGGAATTTTCAATCAGCCCACAAAAAATTTCACACCGAGAAGTAGTACCATGCATAAGTATAAGCAGTGTTCAAAGACTTAAACCTTAATTCAAGGAAATTTTAATTCATTGTGGTTTGTGGAAAGCATGATTTAGGCCAATAGTAGCCAGCGTGAACGCATTCGAAGTTAGAAGTCTCGACAATTTTTTTCAAGATTCATATGAAGATATTTTTTTCTTCGAAAAAAAAGAGCGATGAAATCGAGTTTTTTTTTCAACTGTGTAAGATGCTCTTGAATCGAAAATCTCTCTTGCATTATAAACAGTGAATACAAATAACAGTAATCCAGTTGAAAAAAAAAGTGAATGCGTCTTCTCATTCACTTCTTTCATCGTACATCTCGGTGTGCGCCTCTCGTCGTTTTCAATATATGTTTTCTTCATATGATAATATTAATTGAACTGTATTCTATGCACAGAAAAATACACAGAGCAAACACTGAGAAGTCTGTCGCTATGTTAAATACACATTCACTTGGACAAAAAATTTCTACCAGAGGTGGGATCGGTTGGCATTTTTGCCAAACCGAACCGACCGTAACCGAAAAAATCTCTAACCGAACCGAACGTAACCGACCGAATTTTTTAAAATTTCTAACCGAACCGACCGTAACCGAAAAAATCTCTAACCGAACCGAATGTAACCGACCGAATATTTAAAAATTTCTAACCGAACCGACCGTAACCGACCGAATTTCAAAAATTTCGTAATCGAACCGAGTTTAGAGAAAGCGAAGTTTAGCTTATTTTAGTTAGGGTATTAGTGCTTTATAAATTAGCAACAACAAATCAAATAATAGCAACTAAAAATAATGAACACTCAGAGAAAGCAAAGAATAAAGATTATTTATTGGATCTTCTTACTGTATTATAACTTCCTTACCTCTCAGGGCAAATTTTAAAAATATGTGAGATAATCCGCGTTGCGAGCAACAGCTAGTTGTTGTACGATTATATTCTTTTTTCTTCTTATGTTTCACTGAAAAAGTCCATTGAACTCAAATGAAACGATTATGTTGATTCTTTCTAACCGAACCGAACATAACCGACCGAATTTTTTAAAATTTCTAACCGAACCGACCGTAACCGAAAAATTCTCTAACCGAACCGAACGTAACCGACCGAATTCTCTAAAAATCTCCAACCGAACCGATTTCGGTTACGGTCGGTCGGTTCGGTTCGGTTAAAAACCGAACCGGTCCCATCTCTGATTTCTACACCCCCTCGTCTCCTAAAATTTTGAAGGGTTGGATCATCACTGGTGGTGGAGACCCCATGGAATACACTAGTTGTAGACTACGTACTACAATATCAAGACAATAAAGCTTCAAACCCAAGCTTATCACAGATTTGAAAAATAAAAAAAAGTGGCGTTAAAATAATGAGACTGCTATAAAAATTCATGTATTTCAAATTCATCGATCTATGCGGACATTGCCATCAATTTCATTCCAAAATTTTTATTAAGAAGTAAATTTATTGCATTTACTTCATGATAAAAGTCCGTGGTAGTCAATGAATTTTAAATAGATAATTTTTGTGTCGAAATCATCAACCGAAATGCCATTTTTGGTGATTTGACAAAAAAAATTCGTGAAAGTCATGAAACTGTTTTTGATTTTGTTAATTTTATGGGTAGTTTCACAGATAACAATCGTACATACAAGCAAGTAGAACATAATGATATAAAAACCTGTTGGCAACATGAACAATGTCCTCTTTTCTCAATTAAATAAAATTACCTAGCTTCAAACTTTATCACACAAATAATTTTTTTCGTGTTCATTCAGAAAATACGTTGTTGAGAGAGATTTTTCTTCAAAGCGCACTCTACTTATTAAAGAACAAAATTCATGAAAATTTCTGGTTAGTCAATAATAGTGGTTTTTCATCATATGATAGTCTTAGAGATATTTGCTTTTGTAGATCATGATTCATTGATGTAAGTAGTGACGAACAATGTCCTTGGGTCTGTTCATATTGTTTTATTCTTTCGTTTTCACTGATGGAGCACACTTCAATGGAGGAACTATTATATGGGCTCCCATTGATCCTTATGATAATTCCACTCCAGTTGATATTATCGTTACACAGTCTTATTCATGGGCATATCCAACTATGACATGTGCCAACAATGTACCGATCTCAACTCCTGGACGCGGTGGTACAAATATTAATCTGACTTGTGCTGCTGAATGTTCAACTGATGGTGGCTATTCTAGTGCACCCATTGATATTCTCACCGATTGTACATCAGCTAGTTCATCATTGAAAATGATGAAAAGTGAACGATCGAAAAACGTTACACTCTCTGCTGATGCACATTTTTATCTATCTTTTACGGGATCTGCGTGGGCACCGTTAAATGACCCCCCTCAATCAAATCTTGCTTGGTCTATTGTAACATATATTGATCTTCGAAAGCGACCAGATGGTTTCATTAATACTCCACCTGTTGCCAGATTTGTTTCTCCACAATATGCTGTTGTCAACACAGAAACACAAATTAATATTCCTGTTTCGGATGCCAATTCCGGTGATGATGTACGTTGTCGATGGTCGACATATACAGCTGGATCCGGCAGACGAAAGCGATCAGACGAAAAAAGACATGCAAATAACCACTACATTTCTCACAAATACAAGGAAGAAATTGATGACAAAGAAACGATGGATATCAGGAAAAAAAGACAGGCTTGTTCCAGTGGATGTACGCTTAATATGAGCTGCACTAATTCTGCATGCATAGGGACCATGTGCCAGAATGCGAAATGTCAAAGCGCGTGTTGTGACTATGAAACGACAGCAACATCAACAACGACTACAACAACTACAATGACTACAACAACTGCAACGACTACAACAACTACAACGACTACAACAACTGCAACGACTACAACGACTACAACAACTACAACGACTACAACAACTGCAACGACTACAACAACTACAACAACTGCAACAACTGCAACGACTACAACAACTGCAACAACTACAACGACTACAACGACTACAACAACTGCAACGACTACAACAACTACAACGACTACAACAACTGCAACGACTACAACAACTACAACGACTACAACAAGTACAGCAACTACAACGACTACAACTACAATTGACGGTCAAGGAATACTACTATCGACTTCATCGTATTCAATTCGTTCGCCGATTGATGAATGTGGTGGTATTTGTTATTCAAGCATCGTCCCTGCTAATACAACTCTGTCGAACTGCACTATTACACTCACAGGTCATAAAGCTGGCGTATGGTATGCAGTTGCTGTTCAGGTAAGCAGATTGTTATTTATAAATCACTAATTCATTAACTATGGCCAGGATATTATTTATTTTTATTGAGCTATGACAAGTATCATTTAAATCAAAATTCATTAACTCTTATCGTCGAAAAAGAAATACCCTACTGCACATGTTGTGGCACTATTTTCTGCATGTTTCTAACATAAAAATGTTCTTTACCGCATGAACATCAGTTTCATGTATAGTACGGAGTTGTCGAACTCTCTGTCTAAGAATTCATGTCGTAGTAGTATGTGTAATGTTAGCACTGGTTATACAGTTTATTGATCCCTAGAAATGAAGAGGTGTGTGTTTTTATATGTGGATAGAATAATAGTACAAGGAACGACCGTCACGCCGGCCGTTGAACAATAGCACAAGGAACGACCGTCACGCCGGCCGTTGAACAATAGTACAAAGAGCGACGACCATGCGATATGTAGAAAAGAAGACATGATCATCAAGTGTTACCTCGATAACACCTCCCCCTCTTGAAGATGAACGTCCGCGTTCATTCTAAGGTGAAAATGATGAGAGAAGAGAGAGAGAGGAAAAAAAAAAACAAACAAAACAAAAAAAGAAAGAAAGTACAACAAAATGATAAGAGCGAAGTTATATTGAAGACTACTATTAGTTGCATTGTTACAAGATAGAATCCATTTATTTTCATTTATTTGGTTGAAACCAACTTGAACTTGTTGAAATAAAATAAAATAAAGATGATTATTTAATCTTGTGATTCAAAGATTGGTTTCATTATATTCACATGTACTTGTCTAACATAATTTGAATGTTCTAATTTGATTACATATGTCACTGGTCCAAGAATATCAATTACACGATATGGTCCTTCAAATATTTCTTGCATTTTGTTATTCCGTATAGCTGGTTTTGCTAATATCAACTGTCCTATTTTATATTGAATATTTTGTCGATGTAGATCATAACGTTGTTTATTTAATTTTTGTTGTTTTTGGATATTATTTCGAACCTGTTGTATAATAAATGAGCGATATCGACGGAATTGATTGTAATAATCATTAGATTTTATAAATTGAACCATCGGTTGAGGCTTGTCAAATGGTAAAGTAGGGTTTCTTCCATATACTATTTGGTATGGTGAATATTTCGTTGTTCGATGTTGACCAATATTATAAGAGTAAATAATCGGAAGTAAATATTCGTCCCAGTTATTCCGATTCGAATCTTGTAATTTACATAGCTGTGGTTTGATTGTCGCATTAAATCTTTCGGTGATTCCATTCGTTTGAGGATGGAAGGCTGTTGAGAAGATGTGATTGATTCCAATATCTTTCGTAATTGCTTGTATCAAGTTATTGTGAAAATGGGAGCCCTGGTCGGTGAGGATGTGTTTAGGAACATGACCATACTTGAAAATTATATCTTCAACGATAAATTTAGCTGCTTCGTTTGCTGAGGCTGTTGGTATTGCTTTGGCGATGACAAATTTTGAAAGATGATCTGTGCACGTAATTATATATCGATTGCCATTATTAGTAGTTTCACGTGTTGGGCCCCAAAAATCAATGCCAATTAAGTCGAATATTTCATTTGGTGGTTCTGGTGTTTCCAATAGTCCAGGTGGTTTATATCGGGGAATATTATATTTTGAACATAATAAACATTGTTGGACATATTGTTTGACGTCCTTTAACATATTGGGCCAATAGTAGATATTTTTTAATTTGTAGTAGGTTCTATCTGATCCGTAGTGTGCTGCTGTTGGGTGCATATGAGCTGAATATAATAAATCTTTGATCATTGATTGTGGTACCCATGGGATTTTCTTTTTGGTTCGGCTTGGATGGATCTCAATAAGTTTGTATAAAACACCATTCTCAACCACAAATGATGGATAATTATTTGGGTGTTCTTGTATTTCATGAATCCGTTTTTGAATAAGTGGATCAACTAATTGTTGTTGTGGAATTTTCAAATAATCGAAACCAAGTTGTGAAGTTGAATTATTAGATTTAAATTTAATTGATGTTGCTGTTGCTTGAGACTTTGATTTTGGAATTGATAATGTATTATTCAAAGCAGATTTTTGTGCACGTGTTTGTACTGCATTATTATATGAGGTGTTGGTGTTGTTTGAGATGGTTGATGGACGAAATTCATTGTGAAGTGGAATATTATCTTCGTTATGGTCGTCATTATCAGGGTTATTGATCATATCATTTGTGGGTGTGGATCTTGATAAACAGTCCGCATCTAAATGACATGAGCCACTTTTATGTTTAATATCGAAGTCATATTCTTGTAAAACTAATGACCAACGATAAAGTCTTTCATTTTCAGATTTATGTTTATTTAGCCAGCATAACGGGTGATGATCTGTAATAATAGTAAATTTTGTACCATATAAATAAATTCTTAACTTCTTAATTGCCCACACAATTGCCCAACATTCTTGTTCAGTAACACACCATTTTCTTTCTACTTTGTTTAAATTTTGAGATAAATATACAATTACATGTTCGTTCTTTCCGACTTTTTGTTTCAATGTTGCACCAATGCCATATTTTGATGCATCCGTGGCTAATATGAATGGAACATCAGGTATTGGAAATGTTAACATACATGGTTCTGATACTAGTTGGTTCTTTAATGTATCAAATGCTAATTGTTGTTCATCTTTCCATATGAATTCGCCTTTCTTTGCTTGAAATCTTTGCAATGGATAGGCAACTTGTGCGAAATTCTTGACAAATGAGCGGTAATAATTTGCCATGCCATAAAATCGATGAGCTTCATCATATGTTTTTGGTGGTGGAATATCAATGACAGCTTTGATGTTGTTCTGCAATGGTCTATAACCTTTATAATTAATCTCATGTCCAAGATATTCAATTTGTTCATGAGCTAAAGCACATTTCGACAGATTTAATTTGAAGTTGTGATTATTTAATGCATTTAATATAGCATGAATTGCTTTAGCATGATCATGTATGGTTTTGGAAAACGTAATTATATCATCTAAATAGACCAAGCAATGATGCCCAAGTAAATCACCTAATATTTCATTCATAATTCTTTGGAAAACTGGTGGACCATTAATCAGGCCCTGCGGCAGGACGTTGAATTCAAACAAACCATATGACGTGATGAAAGCTGTTTTGTGTTTGTCCCGATGATCAATTGGTATTTGGTGGTATCCACTTTTTAAATCAAATTTTGAATAATATCGTGCTCCAGCTAGTTGGTTAATAGTATCATCTATTCGAGGGAGTGGGTAACTATCTCGGATAGTAATAGCGTTAAGCTTTCTATAGTCAACAACGAATCTTGGACTTCCATCGTGTTTCTTCACCAGTAGGACTGGAGATGCCCATGGCGATTGTGATTTGCTAATTTGACCATTCTTTTCCATTTCTTCGGTTAATTGTTTCTGTTGTTGTTTAATGGATTCAGGAACACGATAAGCGCTTTGATAAATAGGTGGATGGTCCTGTGTTATGATTCGATGCTTGGTTTTCAAGTTTATTGCTTGAGATGGTTTGCTGGTGTCGAAAACTTTCCATTCTTGTAATAATACTTGGCGAATTAATTGTTGTTGTTCTGGTTGTAAGTGTTTAATTAATGTATTAATATCTTGGACAATTTTATCTGGTATAGCATCATTTTGCTGTGATTGCTCCGATGATTCCGTAATATTACAACAAAGATTAGTTAATGGTACATGACGAACTTTACCTAATTTTGAATTTTTGGGTAATACACAATCGGTATTTGTATGATTAACAATATACAATGTCGTTCGATGATGGTAAATGTTCAATAAGCTATTTGGAATCAATATTGATAGATCTTCTTGTAATTGTTGTCGTGGACGGAAAATAACTGTGTCCGCGTTCGAAATTGATGGACAAATAGCATCAACTGGTTGTACAGTTCGAGGTTTAATGGTAATGTCATGTACCAATCGAATGTTATATTGTTGATGTGGGTCACTGCTATTATCATCATATGTTGGTATATATGGAATAGATTTTGAACCTTCATCAGTCATAATAGTAACACATTGATCTTTACAATTAAGAATTGCTTGGTGTTTTTTGATCCATGTTTGTCCTAAAAGTAAATCTATGTTGGTCTGTGGTGATACATAGACTGTTTCTTTAGATAAATATTGATTAAAATCCATTGTTATTATTACATAACCAGAAACATGCACTTTTGTACCATTCATTGCTTGGAAGTTTTTACTAGTTGGATAAATAGTTGGTTGCGGGTTAAGTTTAGCTAGTGCTTCAGGACTAATAAAGGAACCGTCAGAACCGGAATCAATCATTGCTTTCATTATGCAGTTGTTGATCAGTAATTTAATACATGATGATGCAAATACGTTGGTAGATGTTGCGGGTGAAGAATCTTTTGGTTTATGTAATTTCAAATGACAATTTCGTTCCATATGATCTTCCGTAAAACATTTGTTGCATACAAATTTGGGTGCTTTAGAGGGTTGTGGTGGTTTTGTTTGATTATTTTGGAGAACACGCCCATCACTACGTGACTCCTGACTTAGTTTAAACGTTGTTTTGATTTGAAACAATTTGTCGCTTTATGTCCAAATTTCCCGCATGTATAACATTGAATCGATCGATGCTGTTGAGGATGTTGTTGATAATAATTGGGTACAGAATGTGGTGGCACAAAATTGTTTGCATTGTAATAGTGTGATGGTGGAGGATGATTTTGAGGTTGATTGGTATAAAACATATTATTGTTATACGGCACTGGTTGTTGTGCAATACATGTATTCGATTTTATTGTTGATGAAGAAGCATTCTCATCTATACTAATAACATGTTCTTCAAAATGTACTCGTTTGCGACCTTCTTCAATTTTTTGTAAAACTTCCAATAATTCTTTCGGTGTTGCAAATTCTCGAATTAATAATTGATCTTGAATGCTATTTGGTAAACCACGAATTATATAATCACTACGATGACGATCTGAGACTGGATATTCTTCCTCCAATAAGTCACATTTTCTCATAATATCAGAATAGTAATGGTGCATAGATTCATTACCATGATAACGTCTATTTCGAATATCATCTTCCCTTTGTATACGTGACGAATCCTTCTTGCCTTCGAATCGACTTATTAACTTCTGTTTAAGTTCATTCCATTCCAATTTTTGACGACGAATAAATTCCAACCATTTCTCATCAACATTTAATAATAATTTCAATGTACGATGACATTTATCAATGTCAGTAATAAATGCTTTATTGTATATTACTTCAATTTCTTCAAGCCATGTACTAATTGATTGTGATGTTTCACCCGAAAATTTTGGTAATGTTTTGAAATCTTCTAAAACTAATGCATGATGTGCTTTCATCGCTAGAGAATCCGATGAAGATGTATATTGTTGTGGTGTCATGCAGGAACTAACTAATGTATTGACAAGTGGATCCGTTAAATCTTGTGTAGTTGTTATTGATGAATATTGATCGATCATTAATTTTTGAAAGGATTTCCAGTTGGTCATTTGATCATCGTTAACATAAACAAACTGGGCAGCATGATCTAATACATAATATTTAGCTTTATTTGCCCAACTACTTTCATCATATTTTAAATCAATAAAGACACTTTTGATAGCCGTCAGCCATGCGTATATATTAGTTTTTCCATTATAGTAAGGAATTCTAGCTAATTCTTTATCTTCATTGTTATTCATTAAGTGATATGTCGATAGAGTTTGTGGTGGAACAGTCACAGTATCTGATGTGTGAGTATCGAGTTCTGGTAATGTAATAATTTTGGTTTCTTTTGCATCAGTAGAAATGAGAGATGAGGAATCAATAGTGGCTGTTGATAAATCCGATTTAGTTGATTGAGATGATACGTTTGCATTGTACAAATCAGTCATATTAATTTTTGAGTTTGACATACTTGAATGAGCCAGTTTTTCTTCTTCTTTTTGATCAGGTATTACTTGATAGTAGCTTCGTTTTGACAAATCTAAACCGCTTCGAGTTAGTACCATATGAATTAATACTTCTTGGAATTCAAGAAGCCGGCTTGGTGCACCAATTGTTAGCACTGGTTATACAGTTTATTGATCCCTAGAAATGAAGAGGTGTGTGTTTTTATATGTGGATAGAATAATAGTACAAGGAACGACCGTCACGCCGGCCGTTGAACAATAGCACAAGGAACGACCGTCACGCCGGCCGTTGAACAATAGTACAAAGAGCGACGACCATGCGATATGTAGAAAAGAAGACATGATCATCAAGTGTTACCTCGATAACATGTAAAAGTAAAAAAAACATTTTAGATAGTCTGATTTGATCAAATGAGTCCATATCAGAGGTCCAAGCAGAGTGGCTTTGTGAAGGCCTGACCTGTGCCTGCCATCTTATTTCTTCGGCCTGTCCGGCCTGCCTGTGAAGGCCTGTCTACTTTTTCTAAATCCATATCATGATAGTAATAAAATGTTATTAAGTATTGGTCTTCATAGAAAGCCCAATAAGTCAATGGAAGCAATTTAGATAACACGAGTAAATATTCTCTTATGTGAACATCCAAGAAAATATTTTAAAATGTTCACTAGACAGAGATGTTCTCTTTTTATATGCGCACCAAAGCACGTAAAAATAGGAGCAGGAAAAAAAATGTGAACTTCAGGAAGCTTATTTTAGTTGGTAGAATTCAGAAAAAAAACATTCATATTTCACTATAAGGAAGCTTTCACTAAGAAGTGATCGATTTCAAACAAAAATCGCTCAGCACCAACTTAGGTTGTTCACTATAATGATATGTTCACATTGTGGAGGTGTTGGCAGTGAAAGTTGTTATCATACATTTAATATAAATTGAAAAATATCGGTATTCAGGAAAATAAAGAAATAGGCAGATATTAATATTGAGAAAAACAATCAGGTTTTTGTTCTAAAACATTTTGAAATAATCTAACAGACCAAAATATAACTTATAGTATTACAATCAAGAGAGATACCAAGTACAGTTACTATGAAACTTGCAGCAGAAAGCTACAGCTCAACTTCAGTTTAATTAACTAGGGTTCAAAAACGATGCCAAGAAAATAATGACAAACATCGAAAGGAAGAGTTGATAATTGTTGAGATAGGAGTATTGTTCCCGAGACATGATTTTGAGTCTTATTGGCTAGTATTTCGAAGGTTTGGATAAAAACCAAAAGCATCATATGAATCAGTAGCTGTTTAAAACCGACTAGATTTATGTGAATTCTAAATATTTTCGTCCACTTTTCGTCGAAAAATCCACTCCAAGTCTCTTTCAGGGTTAAGTAAAAAAGAGATCATAATGAAGAGTAGTTACATCAGTGAGGAAAAGTTCTAAGACTGCGCAACGCCACTAGAACACAAATAGCATATGCCGAAACCATCAAAATGCCGTATTGGCGAGATTCTTTTTTCGACACAATCCTGAGAAAGATTAGTAGTGGCTTTTTTGACGAAAATATTTAAAATTCACATCAATCTAGTCCATATTAAATACTGATTCATATGATGATTTTGGTTTTTATCCAAACTGCACTTTTTCTGAATGAAATCTACGAAATACCAGTGAAAAACACTACACAGCTCATGTCTCGTGAAGAATATCCTTCAGACGATTTTCAGTGGTCAGTTTTTTTTTCTTCGCCGTTTTCTTATCATTTTGTAGTGCATAAAAATCTCTATCAAAATATGTAAAAACCAGTCTTATCGTCTAAAATAACGATAGTTAAATAGATCTGATTATCATCAAAGGTCGGATATAATATGTATAGAAGAGTTATGACTATTTTAAACGATTTGGATACAGCATAAATAAGTGCAATAGGGCTAATTCTATCAGCGATCATTTTTGAAAACCTTGTCTGACAGTTTTGCATAGAAAAAAAAACACAAATCTTTCGAGGGTGTCGATCTCATCACTTATCGACCCCTCGTTGATGTTCATAACATCTTCACATTGGCAGTGGATCTAATTGTTTATATCTCTCTTCGATATTTATTCTCAATCATTTATCTAATAAGTGATATTAAACTGTCACCAGTGAAAATTAACTCAACTGAATCTGTTTTCTAAAAATAAATTCAATTTATGGGATGAAAATTTCATATCGAAGAAAAAATTAGACAAGCCAGGTGGTCTGCCATTTTCAAGTGGCCTGCTTGAAGCTCTAGTCTCTATGTATAATTTTTCGATAACATATGAATTTGTAAACACCCAGTTTCATCATAGTAATTTTTTCTCGGCGTCGGAATTTGCATTGATTGAGAGTCAAATATTTGTTAGTTGATTGACAGAAGATTATCTTAATTCGTTTGAAACAGAAAGTTGACTATTCTAATAATGAACATGAGATTTTCAGTGAATAAACTTACTTACTTTTCTGTAGGTTGAAGATTTTATTGACAATACAAGTACCACAGCAATGAGCTCGGTGCCAGTTCAATTTCTGATTTATATCATACCGAAACCTGCATGTTCAACACCGCCCGTCATTCTTCCTTTGACAGGCTGCTTGGAAGTTACGGTTGGTGTTTCGAAGACTTTCAATCTATTTGCGATGAATACCTGCAACCTTTCTTCGATCAATATCACGGACTTTATCAAGTCCCTGGATATTACAGGCATGCAAACGAGTAATACGATGAAATGGCCGACAAACACTTCGCTATATTATGTTAATGTCACTTGGACTCCGCAGCTAAATCAACTTGGATCACAACAGCTCTGCATGATAACCTTCACTAAGTAAAAATTATCAGGGTTTGATTATTCTTAAGTGTATTTTTTGCTATCCTAGTGAAAAGGTGCAATCTGACGAATATTGTGTGACATTTACTGTAATCACATCAACTGCAACCTGCGCAACAACAACTACTACCTCGACTACAACCACTTCCACGTCAACTACTACCTCGACTACCTCGACTACCTCGACCACAACCACTAGCACAACGTCGACCACCGCACCGCCCAATGATCTCCCTCTTGCGCTTGGACTAGGTCTAGGCCTTGGCCTTCCATTACTGCTCATTGGAAGCATATTAGCTACTTGTCTTTGCTGTCGATGCTGTCCAGGACTTTGCTGGTAGGTAGATACATATTATACATGTGATTATGCATTGAACTCATTTCGTTCTCTCAGGAGGAAATGGCGCCGAAGGTTTTGGGGAGATGAGCATAACCTCTGCAAAGTATGCGGAACAAAATGCAGTGATCATGCACCTTGCAACAGGAGTACAATGTCTGATGAAGATCTAGGCAACTATCGACGACAGTACATCAATGAGAGTCCACGGAGGCCGACGTCAGATCTATTCCGTGAAAATTCTTTCCAATCGCGTTCATTTTCGGCATACAATGTTCCGTCTCGAGCAATGACACGGACTACGTTTATATCGTTGTCCTCAATGAATGTGACGCCAATAGAGGATATTCGAGCACTAGTTAACCGTCCTGTGCAACCATCTTTATCTGAACTTGGTGGATCGTTGCTTGTGCGAGCTTATGTGAGACAAGAGCAAGCAAAGAACTACACTTTTGATTGATTTACATTTTTCATAGAGTACTACATTGATCTGATCTTTCTTAATCATAATTCTATTCGACGAAACTCGCAAAGCCAAACATTTCTTTTTATTCTTGAGCACGTCGGAAACTGTTTGTGTGTTTGCTATCGAATATTATAAGCAACAATAAAACGAATGTCGTCATAAAATACAGAACAATAAGATGCGGGTGTGAGTGTAGGGTGTGAATGTGGGATGAGTGTGGGTGTGGGGAGTGGGGAGTGGATGGGAGTGGGTGTGGGTGTGGGCGGATGTGCGTGTGGGTGTGGGTGGGCGTTAGTAGAGGTGTCACCTTCTATTTATTTACACTCACACCCCACACCCACATCCACCCACACACCCACACCCACACCCACACCCACACACCCACACCCACACCCTGAATATATTTGGATTTGGATCGAAGATGCCAGAATCTCGTTTTTCTCTAATCTTTGGGTCACTCATGAGCCAGCGAATAGTTATGCGGATGAATTTCGATTAAATTCAAATTGTTGTCTTCGACTCAAAACTCATATGATTCGGTTGAGCAGCTCGAGGCTTGCCCATTGAGTATTTCAGTAAGTTAATCCTGTCTATGGGCACTTTGAGTTGTCTGTTTTGTATTGATGGAAATAAAAGTTTTAACGCAGGTGTAGAAGCTTTATCCATAATATATAAGATTGTTCTGTAGAGTATGAAATACAAATATAGATGTGACAAAGATTCTTCGTACGATTTCTCCTTCGATCAAAGATAGATAAAATACGGACTTGTCAAGATTCAGTAGATATTAAAAGAGATGCAGAAAAGAATAACTAACATGTGCGTGACATTTTCTTTGCACTGCAGTTCTATTAAATAAGAATCTTTATTGGTTCAAATTTCCTGAACCTCTATTGTGCAACATCTTTTTCAAAAGATCTGAAACTATAATCTTTTACAAAAAACATTTCATTGCAAAACCACACCCACACCCCATACCCCACAAACACCCACACACGCGAACAATAGTAGGTTTTATTTTTACAATAGGGCAGAATGAAAACGGGGTATCAGTGAAGTTGGCCACCCCCAGGTATGTTATCTTTATACTTTGACTACCTAATCGATGTGATGCAGTTTTTCGTTCTGTTAAATACAGAACAAAAATAAACTTAAAATACGGGAGTCTCTGTTAAATTTTTTTCTCGGCATGCTCGTTTAAAATACTTGAATCAAAAATACTCCCTGTGTGATTCGAAATGAGTAGTTTTTGTGTATTTTCGATCGTATTTTTTATAGGATGGTACATATGTATTATTGCATTCGATGCTACAGCTATAGGCAAAATAGCAGATGGTGCTATCCAAATCGATCGAATTCGTGACAAAGAAAGTGATTACATAAATACAACATGTTTTCTCAACGATTACTCATACCGAGTGAAAAGATGTGAGGATTGTTCAGATGA